CATGGGATTGGGATTAAGGACCAAGTGAGTTAGCTGACCAAGCATAAAAACAGGTATGAATATTAGAATGGTCATGGTATGAATACATATACACTAGTGGGAAGAGGTTTGATGTTTTATATAAAACATAATGAGGATATATTTGAAGACAATGGTTTAGAAAATACAAAATAAAGTTGTTATTTTGGTTTCATATAGCACTTAGAATTTTATGCAGCAATCTACAGTGTAGGATTGTTCATACACTGGTTTCCTTTTCTATCTGAGGCTCAAATTTTGGATGCCTGTGCCAAAGGGAAACAAATCTCTGGTCTTAATATGGTAAGGTATAGCCAGTGGCGTCCCGAGGCAGGTGCGGCCCGCATCGGGTGACACCAACCACAAGGGGTGACACCAGACCCGCTCCACGAAAAGGTAAGTTGTAAAGCAAGCTGACGATCCCCGCAGGATGAATCCGATCCATCCTGCGGGGATCGTCTGCTTTCTTTACAACTTACCTTTTCTTGAAGCGGGTCCGGTGTCACCCTGTATAGGTTGCATAATAAAGAAACACAGAAGTGATCAAATACCACCAAAAGAAAGGTCTATTTGTGAGGAAAAAAAAGACAAATTTCAGCCTCAGTCTGGCAGTTGCACATAGTTGCAATTGCTGCTCAGCAACTGCTGACATATTGTCATCCTGCGGGGATTGTCAGCATGCAACCTATACGGGATGACACCAGACCCGCTCCAAGAAAAGGTAAGTTGCAAAGAAAGCCGATGATCCCCACAGGATGGATCGGATCTGCGGATTGAGCATAATGGATCAGAGTCCGATCCATTATGCTCAATCTGCAGATCCAATCCATCCTGCGGGGATCGTCGGAGAGGGTGTCACCAAGTGTTACCGCACTGGGTGACACCAACCCTAGGGACGCCTCTGGGTATAGCATTGTTCCATAATTGCAGTGATGAGTCTCTGACCCTTAAAGCTGGACTCTGGGGAAGAAAATAATTTTTGCACACTTGCTATATACCAATAAATTATCTCTGATGCTATGTTTTCATTGTGTGGATGGCTGCTGCATTGGTTTAGTGCAATTTATTCTCTTTAATTCATCTCCGCCAGTACGGTACTGCCATTCACAAGAACACAACTTGCTTGGCACTACTCAAATCTCTGTTGGTCAAGTGTAGGTATCTGTCAACCTGGGTTGTTGTGTGCTTGTGTTTTGTGAATGGTGGTGCTACTCTGCAGCTGCTGACATTTACAAGCACACAAGCTGACCACTTTACCAATCCACTCCCTCTTCTCCAAACTAGCAAGGGCTATGCAGGCTCAGTGTTGGTGTGCCCCGACACATGAGAGCAGCAGGGAGGCACAAGTATGTAAACTTAAGAGGAAGGGGTGGGCTGTGCAGGCTCTGTGTATATGGCCTTGCCCCCTATGCTCTGTGTTGTCAGTTAGAACTATTGTCTTCTTCGTTCCATGTTGCCGGATAGCTGAGGTGAGGCAAGCTATTCAGCAACATTCCTCAGCAATTCCTGCAGAGATTTGAGTGGGACCATGTGCAATCCACACTGGCTTCCTTGAGGGATTAAGCAAGTGATTTGATTTTCTATTAAGACTTCTTCTTTAAAACCTTTCTCTGGGCTTTTACTATACCATCTTTTTGGCCTCCTACACCTCTTGGCTGTATTTTTTGCTCTTTTTATACATTAATTTTCTAGATGTATCGTATTCAGGCTAGTCATGTGATGCACAAGTCCCTCTTCTTCTTAAGGCCTTCTACATGGGTGGGCAGTCTTCAGTGATGCAGAGAGTGGAACTGACATGATGAGGTCAGTTTCCCGACTGCTTTATTATACAGTGTGGAATAGAAATTTTTCTTTCCTCCATCTTTATTAATCAATGCAGATTTTATTTCAGCTTCAAAATCTTCTAATTCAAACATGTAAGGGCAAATGCTCTAATGAATAAATAAATATATATTTATATCTACACATACACTGCTCAAAAAAAAATGAAAGGAACACTTTTTAATCAGAGTATAGCATCATGTCAATTAAACTCCTGGGATATTGATCTGGTCAGTTAAGTAACAGAGGGGGTTGTTAATCAGTTTCAGCTGCTTTAGTGTTCATGAAATTAACAACAGGTGCACTAGATGGGCAACAATGAGATGAGCCCCAAATTTAGAGCAGAGACTGTAATGCCGGCCATAGACTGGTCGAAAATCGTCCGATAAAAAATCGGCCGATTTTCACACTGTTAGTGGGTTAATTGGTCGGCCGTTTTTCGGGGTTTATGCACTTTTTTTTTATCGGTTGTGTTGGAAAATTCGCAGCCGATTTTGACGATCGGGCCGATTTTCCCAGCAATGATGGGCAAATCGGCTGATGATTTTACCGATAAAAAATCTGCGCATGAGCCGTGACCTCAAAGGAAGAATAATAAGAAGAGAAGAAGAATAAGTCCGCTATTATATTTTATATGAAAAAGTTTTGCGGTTGCAATAAATGTATCCATTTGTATCCAAATAAAAACATCTGTATCCAAATAAAAACATTGTAATCCAAATAATGTATTTGTATTACTGTCACATTGTATGGTGTGCTCCCGTCTCTGCAAGGAACAGAAGTTATGGGGTTAATGCCGGCCATAGACGGGTCGAAAATCGGCCAATTTTTTTTAACGTTGGTGGTAACGCTGGCCGATTGAACGACCGATTTTTCTTCTTTTTTTTTTTTTTTTTTTTTAAATCGGCCGATGTTCGACCCGTCTATGGCCTGCATAAGCCAGGCCTTTTTCCCAATATCAGTGCCTGACCTCACAAATGCGCTTCTGAAAGAATGGTCAAACATTCCCATAGACACACTCCTAAACCTTGCAGATATCCTTCACAGAAGACCTGAAGCTGTTATAGCTGCAAAGGGTGGGCAAACTCAATATTGTGTCCTTGCTTCATAAGCCAGTTATAGACTTGGGCGGGTGGCCACTTTTATGCATGTTTGATTTTTTGGTACGTGGGTGCACTAGGACCCTGGTTGCCATTGTGCTACATGCTGGGGTCCAGTGCACTCCTTTGCCTTTAAGAGGGGTGGCTCCCTCAGGTCCACCTGCCCTTGATCTATCCATTAAATGCATGTGCCTCTACTATGGGGACTCACAAATTTTAGAGTTAGGACCACAGATGATCAGGGTGCCGTGTCGTGGCTCTGTGGCTTACGTATGTATTTGCAAATGTGTGCTAACTAAACCCCTGTTATAAACGCATACTGTTAGACAGGTTAATTCGGTTGTTAGCAAGCTGGCTGGCAAGTTGTCCAAGAACATTGTTCTCTCCCCTTTTTTCACTATTGATGCCTGTTTATGTGTCCTTGCTTCATAAGCCAGTTATAGACTTGGGCGGGTGGCCACTTTTATGCATGTTTGATTTTTTGGTACGTGGGTGCACTAGGACCCTGGTTGCCATTGTGCTACATGCTGGGGTCCAGTGCACTCCTTTGCCTTTAAGAGGGGTGGCTCCCTCAGGTCCACCTGCCCTTGATCTATCCATTAAATGCATGTGCCTCTACTATGGGGACTCACAAATTTTAGAGTTAGGACCACAGATGATCAGGGTGCCGTGTCGTGGCTCTGTGGCTTACGTATGTATTTGCAAATGTGTGCTAACTAAACCCCTGTTATAAACGCATACTGTTAGACAGGTTAATTCGGTTGTTAGCAAGCTGGCTGGCAAGTTGTCCAAGAACATTGTTCTCTCCCCCTTTTTTCACTATGTGATGCCTGTTTATGTGTCCTTGCTTCATAAGCCAGTTATAGACTTGGGCGGGTGGCCACTTTTATGCAAACTCAATATTGAGCCCTACTGACTAAGACTAGGATGCCATTAAAGTTCACATGAGTGTAAAAGGCAGGCATCCTATATATATATTCCTTGAAAAAATTTAAGGAACACTTTGAAAACACATCAGATCTTAATGTGGAAAAATATCATGCTGGATATCTATACTGATATGGACTGGATAATGTGTTATGAACGTAAGAATGCCCCATCGTTTAATGGAAATGAAAATTATCAACCTACAGAGGACTGAATTTTAAGACACCCTGAAAATCAAAGTGAAAAAAATTATGCAGCGGGCTAGACCATTTTGCTGAAATTTCATTGCAGCAACTCAAAATGGTACTCGGCAGTTTGTATGCTTGTATACATGCCTGACAATGTCGGGGGCATGCTCCTAATGAGACGATGGATGGTGTCCTGGGGTATTTTCCTCCCAGATCTAGACCAGGGCATCACTGAGCTCCTGTATAGTCAGGTGCAACCTCGTGGCGTCGGGTGGACCGAAACATGATATCCCAGAGATGTTCTATTGTATTTAGGTCAGGTGAACGTGGGGAGCCATTCAATGGTATCAATTCCTTCATCCTCCAGGAACTGCCTGCATACTCTCTGCATACTGCATTTTCCTGGTTCTTAGTCTTCACTCTAATTCATCCCAAAGGTGTTCTATCAGGTTGAGGTCAAGACTCTGTGCAGGCCAGTCAAATTCCTCCACCCCAAAATTGAACATCCATGTCTTTATGGGCCTTGTTTTGTGCACTGGTGCGCAGTCATGTTGGAATCCATCCCCAAACTGTTCCCACAAAGTTAGGAGCATGAAATTGTCCAAAATGTCTTGGTATGCTGACACCTTAAGACTTCCCTTCACTAGAACTAAGGGGCCAAGCCCAACCCCTGAGAAACAACCCTACACCATAATCCCCCCTCCACCAAACTGTACACTTTGCACAATGCAGTCAGGCAAGTACCGTTCTCCTGGCAACTACCAAACCCAGATATGTCCATCGGATTGCCAGACAGAGAAGCGTGGTTCGTCACTCGATAGAATACATCTCCACTGCTCTAGAGTCCAGTGCTGGCGTGCTGCTTTACACCACTGCATCCAATGCTTTGCATTGCACTTGGTGATGTAAGGCTTGAATGCAGCTGCTCGGCCATGGAAACCCATTCCATGAAGCTCTCTACGCGCTGTTGTTGTGCTAATCTGAAGGCCACATGAAGTTTGGAGGTCTTTAGCTATTGATTCTGCAGACCATTGGCAACTTTTGCAGCATGTGCTGACCCTGCTCTGTCATTTTATGTGGCCTACCACTTTGTGGTTGAGTTGCTGTTGTTTCCAGTTTCTTCCACTTTGTTATAATACCACTAACAGTTGACCATGGAATTTTTAGTAGCAAAGAAATTTCACAGATGGACTTATTGCGTAGGTGGCAACCTATCACGGTACCACGCTTGAATTCACTGAGCTCCTGAGAACCACTCATTCTTTCACAAATGTTTGTAGAAGCAGTCTGCATGCCTAGGTGCTTGATTTTATACACCTGTGGCAATGGAGGTGATTGGAACATCTGAATCCAATGATTTGGAGGGGGGAGTCCCAATACTATTGTCAATATAGTGTGTGTATGTGTGTGATATATATAAAAATATTAAATAACTTGTTTATTAAAAATGGGAAGGGGAAGTTCTGTTTTATAAAAGCTATTAAATCACAGGTTTATAGCTTCTTGTTTTATAAGCCTTCATTTAAGTAATTCAAGATTAAGGAGCATATCTGTTGCTACGTTTAAATTGTGACAGCTCCCTTTCTGCAGCTCAACAACCAGACCATGTGTCATGGTGAAGGATTATTGTTACAGTATGAATAACACGCTGAACTGTACTGAAACAAGTTCTTCCTCTTGGGAGATGCATTACAAGTACAGAGGCCATAAATTAACATTGCATGTCAAATTCTCAAGCCTGGAGAGTTACCGGAGCAAATTCATCCAGAGCTTTCGCAGTTCAGTCTTTATGAAGAAACAAAAAAAAAAAACACTACTGACATTCAAGCTATTTATATATTTGGAGCAGCAAAAATGCAATGACCCTGTGCCATAGAATACATTTAACTTTAATCCTAATTACATGACATTAAATCCTGTATTATCTGTAGAAAAAGTTATAGATTTATGTATTATAGCACAGTGCCAAAAGAAATTATTTTGTATAAAAAATTAGCAGAACTTGGATCTATTAAAAATTATACTAAAACATTTAGGTGGGTACCATACTGCTAAAGATATGAAATCAAGGGATCTTGATGGTTTGATGGGTGATGGACAGTGTGTCCTGGATAATTTTATAGATCACTTACATCCAGGGGCGGACTGACCATTTGGAATCAGTAGGGGGCCCTATGAGATGCCCCTGGTACCTTTCATAGGCTTTTTTGGGTGTGGTTTGAGTGTGGGTGAGGACACAGGGGCCCATGATCCCCTATTGCCCGGGGGCCCATGAGTTGTCAGTCCACCTCTGCTTACATCATTATTTCTAGTACATTCAAAATCATTGCATACTATGCCATAAATAGAATATACATATATGTAAAAGTTACTCAAATATTGAGAGTATAATAATTACATAGTTACATAGATTGAAAAAAGACACAGGTTCTGGGACCAGAAATAAAGGGTGTGCTCTGATAAAATTTTACTAATTTGCTCATCAAAATGTTCTTGTGAAAATAAAAGTTTTTAAGCTATAAAACTGGATGACAGGTGCCCCCAACCCCAATTCCATCCCACCTCAAATTGAGAGGTGAATGAGGGAAATAGGGGAAACATGTTTATATGACTGCAAGATTTTGCATAGTAGACAACTATGTCTGACATTTGTGAATGTTTATGCTCCTAAAAAAAATGCTTTTATTTTTTTTTTTTTTAAGCGTTTGTACATACCATATACACGTACTATAAAAACAATAAAATTTATTGGAAAAGTAAAAAGTCACAAGTTTAGTTCAAACAACAGAAAAAATAAATAGAAAACTTTTATATACACAATCCTGTAACCACAGTTGATCCAGAAGAAGGCAAATCATGTGAAGCATTTTCCAATGTACTCCAGTGGGGGAAGTCCCAGATCCCCCAGGAGGCAATCAGATATTCTTTAGATCAAAAATATCTGGTGTAATTGCCTATAAATGTTTAGTTACATTCTCATTATCATTACTTCATATGCTTAAAGTGGAAATAAAGGCAAATTCTAACTAACTCAAAACCTACTCTCAGCCACATTCTAAACCTAATCTAGCCCTGTTAAGGAAAAATCGCTATATTTAACTGCTCTGTAGCCGCTCTGGTCCGGTCCCATGCTGAGCTGTCCATGGCGGCTTCAACGTATAGGAGTGTGCAGAAGAGTATTCAACAATGGGAGCCCCATAGTAGCTCTATTGGTGACAGCTTACTATGAGCTAGCTTGGATAAAGTGATTTCTCCATATACAATAACTGTATGGCAGCTGGGGCATGGCAAATCACTGTAGTAACATTAGCTAATGCAGTAAGCAGTGTCCACATCCAGAGGGCCGAGGGCTATTTCCCTCTACTGCTGGAAAAGAAAACCATTGCTCTCTCTCATCTCTCCTTCACGCAGGAACCAGCTTCTATTTTTCCCAATGAATATTAGGCGGTCTCTGATTGGTTGAGGTGGTGATCATGATGTCATCTACCCCGCCTCCCCACCTAGGCCAGTCAGGGTCTACCTAGTATTCTTTGACAAATATATAGGGCTGTTCCTGAGTGGCATAGAGGAGAGAAACAATGCTGTTTTTCCCATCAGCAGGTGGAAATTGCTCCTAGCCCTCCACAAGGCAATGTTACTTACTGTATGTAGCTAATGCCACTACAGAGGATTGCCATGTCCCTAGCAGCCACAGAATTATTGCATATGGGGAAATCACTTCATCCAAACTGGCACATAGTTATTAAAGGGAAATGATTCCTGGAGTCCTTTATTGTAAGGAATATAGCACTACTTAAAGTATGCTTTTCAGATTCAAATATTTGTTAACCCAGTGACTAAAGTTTTGCTCCCCTTTTGCTTTGTAAAGGTAGTTGTGCAATATTTTTATTATTGCTGTGAGTTATTGTTGATCCTGCTGGTTTCTGCTCTATCTAAATCCCTTTTAAATATGATGACCACCAGCTTCCAAATCTGCATGGCAGTGGTCCCCCTTTGCTCTGTTGCTGTCAATGCGCCCTGCTGATTGATTGACAGCTGGTCTGACCATTTAGCAGCTAAGACAGAGATTTCCTATAAATGTAACTGCCTCTTGTGCCAGACAGCTTAGCCTGTTACAGTTAGTGGGAAAATAATGGATCTATCAGCAGGAGGCTAAAACATCCAAATTATTATCCCAAGAACTAGTTTGCACATGTCATCAATCACATAAATGCGAGCTTAAAACTCTAATAGGATTCTATCCCAAAAACCAGCAAAGGATCAGCTATTTTATGTATAATAAAATCTACACTCCCCTTCCCCTATGCAATGAAGATTGAGAGAAGGACATGTTTGAAGTCCAGCCTGGGTGATAACCATGGCTCCCTGCATAGATACAATTTAATGAATGAGTGTCACCCTAGCAGGATTACTACATGAAAAACTGGGGGGAAAATCCAGTGATGAGGGAGCAAGGAGCAGGGCCAAATGGCACTGTTTGCTTTAATGGACACACAGAGCGCATGGCTCAGAATAGAGCCCACACATGTGCCACCATAGGAAGCAGTTTTCCATGGTGGCACTGGCACATGGAGAGGAAGAGGCCCAGAGTGCCAGCTAGGGACTCCAGAAGAGGAGGATCAAGGCTGTTCTGTGCCAATTCATTGCACAGAGCAGGTAAGTATGACATGTTTTTGTTATTAAAAAAAAATAACTTTTATAATCACTTTAACTGCAGCTTAAATATATTTGATAAAAAAGTGAAACAGCAATATCCTTATATACATATGTCAGTGCTCTATCAAAGTTTCAAAAAAACATATAGGGTGTACAGTGAATGTTAATTCATGATTAACATGCCACAAAAACATTTGCCAAGCACCTTGCTGAAAGTGAACCACACAAAGTAAAATTATGAATTTGTAATAGTAGGCAAATAGCAGTATATCTAAAAAGAAATAGAACTTTACACAAACACAAAGTTTCAGGGCTGGATTCCCTCTTTGTCAAGCAGCTTCTATCTGACCTGGCCTTAGAGTCTCACCACCAGGGGCGGACTGACCATTCAAGCACTCGGGCACTGCCCAAGGGCCGGGGTCAATAGGGGGCCCCATGAGATGCCCCTGGTACCTTTCATAGGCTTTTTTGGGTGTGGTTTGAGTTTGGGTGAGGACACAGGGGCCCCATGATCCCCTATTGCACGGGGGCCCCATGAGTTGTCAGTCCGCCCCTGCTCACCACCCATCGCATTACTAATAGGACTGTTAAAACTAATAAGACATTTTCATGGAGTGATCTAGCTGTATAAGGCTCATGGAAAGTCGTTTTATTTTGAAATAGATAATTACAATACCAGTGTGCACCCAATGACATTCCAGGAAAAAACTTGTGTATTATATCTGATCTCAACAAAAAAAAGTTGTCTTCATTATTATTATTATTATTATTATTATATACAGGATTTATATAGCGCCAACAGTTTGCTCAGCGCTGTACATTATAATGGGAGACAGTACGGGAAACAGTACACGAGACAGTACAGTAACAATACGATTCAATACACGAGGGGTACGAGGGCCCTGCTCCTTGGCACTTACAATCTAGGAGGGAGGGGATAGTGGTACAGGAGGAAATAGCTGTGGGGGATGGATTGGAAGGAAGATTGGAGGAGTTCAGTAATTAGCTGAGGGCGGAGTAGGCTTCCCTGAAGAGATAGGTTTTCAGAGTGCGCCTAAAAGTGAGGAGAGTGGGTGATAGTCTGATGATGGATTGGGGTAGGGAGTTCCAGAGAATGGGGGAAGTCCTGGAGACGGGCATGGGAGGAGGAGACCAGGGAACTAGAGAGTAGGAGGTCTTGTGAGGAACGGAGAGTACGTTTTGGGTAGTATTTGGATACCAGATCGGTGATGTAGTTTGGGGCAGTATTATGAACAGCTTTATACGTCAATGTTAGCATTTTTAATTTTATCCGTTGGGCAATCGGAAGCCAGTGGAGGGAGTGGCAGAGAGGGGTGGCGGATACGGAGCGGTGAGTAAGGTAGATGAGTCTGGCCGCAGCATTCATGCGTCTTCATGCAACCATTGGTCCATTGCATGTAACACAGCAGGTTTTCACATACAAGGTTTTCCCAGCAGAATGTCTGGTGTGCATGGGAAAATTATAGCCAGGTCATGAAAATGTGTATTTGATATCTTCATTTGACTAGCTCCCCAAACCAATGCAAACATAATGATAATAAATGGCTGTTTCACATAAAGCAAGTTGCATGTTATTTTTTTAA